CCTTCTCCAGGTCACTTGAGACCATATGCTTTTGGGAGGGAATAGTCCAGCTGCTCCCACCAGCTATTCTTGTCTACAGTTTTGCTGCTTCTCCAGAGCCTATTTGCATAATTTGTAGTAGAGTTGGGGAAGGGCCCAAGTATTTTTGTGCTGCTTCTGCTTTATGTATGGATGAATGGTAGTGTACTCTTCTTTCCTGTGGCTACTGACACTTCCTGTCTTAGTTATGCACATCTCAAGAGTAAGTATTATGTTCAAAGGATGCTGTTTGATGTTGTGTACCATGATTATCTTTAGAATGGCTATTTTTTATGGATCTTTTTGTATCTCTTTACTCTCTTGAGAGTAAACTTGAGAGATGTTCAGCATTTTGGAAATGGAAAATATGCTTTTATTCGTCAATGTTGTTTAAACCCATATTTCAGGATTTTTTTGTTTGTTTTCTTGCAGTGGAAGCTTTAACATTCCCTCCTTCTTCAGGGAAATCTTTCATTATGGGAACAGATGAAGCCCTTGAAAATGAGCTGGGTCTTGGAGAGCTGGCAGGCCTTACAGTAGCCAATGAGGCTGATTCGCTGACTTATGATGTAAGTGTTTTAATGATAACTTAAGATCCTGCTGTCAGCTTGCTGAAGGCAGATGCAACTTGCATGTGTAGACTCAACAGAAAACATTTTCCTGGTACAATTATGCTGCCAGAGGATGTCACAAAGTTTTACTTGACATACCTGTTCTTCCCAGAGATGGCAGCCTTCAAGCTCTCTGCAGGCCCCTCTCCTCCTCTCATTTGCCTGCCATATTGTTCAGAGAGTTGAAAGTAAGTGTAGGGATGGTGATACAGCCAGGTACTTGCAACCCCAGTGATATTGAGCAAAATTAGGAGTAGCATGGCCAGCAGATTGAGGGAAGTTAATGTCCCCTCCACACTGGGCTGGCAAAGCCATACCTGCATGAAGTTCTGGGCCACTGTACTTCAAAAGGGTTGTAGAGAAATTGGAGAGAGTCTGGTAGCATGTGACCGATAAGATGCCAAGGGGAGCCGGTCTTGTTCGGTTGTTAGGAGGCTAAAGGGTGCTCAAACCTCAGCCTACGTGTATTGGAAGGGGGCTTACGAGGGTGACTGAGCCAAGCTTGTCCATAGTGCCATATGCTCAAACAAGAGGAAACAATAGCAGAGTATGGCTCAGGGGGTTCAGGTGGGACGTTAGAGGAAAAAGTGTTACGTAGGTGCTGGTACAGAAGCCAGAGAAACTGTGGGTTCCATCTCCTGGAGGGCTTGGCTGAGAGACAGCTATGGCTTACATTACCTGGTGTAGGCAATAGTCTTCTTTCAAGTGAGAAGCTGGAACAGAGGCTTTTTAGGAGACTCTTGTAACTACACTTCTATGGCTTCTTTTTCTTTCACTTTTTATGAAAAAATCCTTGAGGTTCAAACTTGAATTTTTCAGGTTTACGTTTTCACATGTTGATTTGTCCATAAATTAAAGAATGGTTTTCAGTTTGTATGTGATTATAGATTTATTACTTTAAAAGTGAAAATTTTCCTTCTGTGGGAATTTTTTTTAGAGTATCTAACAAGATGAAATTTCCTAGATTGCTAGTCAATACTCTCTTGGTATTGTGGTGGTGTTTGGTTTTTTTTCCTTCCTTTACACATTGTTGGTTTAACAAGTGTTCACTTTGGTTGGTTCTGCTTTTTCATAGTCTTCTAGGTGGATTAAGAAGCTTCCTAAAATTATGATAGATTGAGGACTGTATGTAAGAGTATCTGAACTAGAAAATCATTACTTTTAACACTATGTAAAAACTTGGAGGTTTTGCACTTAGCAGTAGGCTCTTGCTTGATTTCCTGCAACTTTGAACAAGAGAAGTGTCCATAATCCCACTTGCATATCATTGCTTGTTCTAGAGTTTTCAAGTTGTCTGTATAGACAAGTAATACTATTAGTGGCAAATCCAGATCAGGTGCTAATTTTGGGGTTGAACATTCTCTCTCCTGCCCCTGTCAACTGCTTTTCAAGTCCTAGATTACCTCACTGCTGTATTTGAGTGAGGAAAGACAAAAGGAGACTGGCTGTCGTGTTAGTAACCCAGCCTCTTGCAGATTGTGAGAGAGTGGCTGAAGAGGAGTGGTGGTGTCACAGCCAAGCAGCTGATGCTAGGATCTGTTTCCACCTCTGCTGGCTGGGAGTGCCCTCCCTCTGCTTCCCAATTTATAAGGTAATCATCTTGGACTCCTTTGGAAGAACATCTTTGAATGACTGAGAAGCAAATGGGGAATATTATTGTACCAGAATTGGCATGCACTGTTGGGCCATCTGAGGTGTATTTGTGGCTTTCAGAGATGTGACACGGGACCTGTGCTGCTGGTGTGGCAGCTGGAGGACCAGTGGGATTCCCTCCATCACCTAATCGGCATTGGAGGCCTGTGTTGAGGCAACCAAATTCCTCTCCAGATATCTGTGAATACTCTGTCTGTATTTTACCCTTTTTACTTAGACTTTGTTGGCCAGTCTCCAGAAAATCTGCCAGAGTTGCTGCCTCTGCAGTCCTGCCCGATCCTTGCACCAGCTCAAGCATTTATCTGTTCCCTCCTTGTGCCAACTCAGCTCAATAAACTGGCAAAGAAATGGTCTTGCCTCCCTGAGCAGGACAGTACATAATTACCAGGAAATATGATAAGACTAAACCTGCTGGTTATGACTCCTTTATCATTGTTTAAAATCTACAGAACCTCTTAACTGAAGCTTATTTTTAATTACATCCAGAAGTAACAAAATTTAAGAAAAAGCACTTTTGTTCTTAAAACTTGTCCCACCTCCCTCTGCCCCACCCCACATTCCAAGAGTGTAGATTCTTGAAATGCCTCAAAACAGTTGTCTCTTCTTTGTAGCTAATGATACTAAATTATTTGGGATTATCTATAGCTTTCAACATAATGAAATAATTTATATTTGAGTTACAATTTTTTGTTTTCCATATGACCAGCAGTAGTGGTTATGGGAAGGCAAATTTTATCTATGACAGCATTGACTGACGGAGCAATAGAAGTCTGTTCAGCATTTTACACCAACATTTGTTCAGAGCAGCAATGTTGAAGTAACTTATTTTTTTAAAAGCTTTCTTTTTGGATCTGCTAACATACATTTATGACCACATAATTTTGTCTCTATATATGATAGCTTATTTGCTTGCCAGTTCTATTCTTGGTGTATAGCCAAGTTGTTTTTGCCCCCTGGGTTTTTTGGTTGTTTTTTTGAGTAGTTGTTGTTGGGGAGGGGTTTGGTTGGGTATTCTGTTTTTGTTTGTTTGGTGGGTTTTTTTGTTCCTTCTTTCTTCTTTTTTTGGGGGATGGGGATTATTTTGTTTCTGGCAAGCTTTAATTGTCTTGTATCATTACAGAGCTTGTGCTGCCATAGACGAGTAAGTTAGGCTGTGTTCTTTCTGTGCTGCTAGTCACTTCTCTGTTTCTCTTAGATCTTCACTTCAGAGATGCCCAAGTCAGTGGTATTTTGGATATTCAGGGACCACAGCTGGGTTGAGTCCGATTCGGTGTTAATAAATGAGCCAGTAGGTGTAGGTGTAATTTCTAATGTCCAACTGAGTTCACAGCAGTATCAGTCCGAAAGGTACTTTTCAGCATTCAGATTGTGTAACTTAACAGACGTGAAGCATTTCAGATGTGCACAGATTGTGTTACTGGGGACACGACATTACCTGTTGCCTTTGTGGAATACATCTGCCTCTGTTCTCCTTTCGCATCGTTTGATCAGTGTTAAATGGATTGCTGCTCAAGAGCAGGTTGCTATGAAAAGTGGGTGAGGTAATTTAACATTTTTGGAAAATGCCCAACTAAATTTCTGACTTCTTCCTTTCCTTGTGCCTTCCAGATTAATTATAAGTTTGGCTTTTGTTTTTTTTTTGTTACTAGATAGCAAACAATAAGGATGCATTGAGAAAGACTTGGAACCCCAAATTCACATTAAGAAGTCACTTTGATGGAATAAGAGGTCTTGCTTTTCATCCGGTTGAACCAGTCTTAATAACAGCTTCAGAGGACCATACATTAAAAATGTGGAATTTACAAAAAACAGCCCCAGCAAAAAAGTAAGGTTTTTTCCTTTGGTTCAAGAAACTTTTTCAATTCTGAAGGAAAACATAAATTGTAGATGCCCCTTGACTGGATGACCTTTGCAGTTAAAGGAAATTGTTTTTTCAATTTACTAGTAGGAAAACAAGCTCTCGGAAAAGGATGGAGACTTTTAAAGAGTGCCAGAAGAAGTTAGTGCATGTTAGTGAATGTATTTTGCTTGTGAAAATGAAAGCTATTCACTGTTACATTTTCCTTGTAGATAACGTGGTAAATGAATGTACTAGTGAAAATATGTGGATGTGGTCTGTTAGTGTGCTTGCATTTGTATATAAATGTGTAAAGTTGCACTTTTAGATGTAAATGCATATGTATGTACACACGTGTGTGCATATACATGTGTACAACTTTAAGCTCTGACCGAGACGTTGCTGGGATCCTTTCTACTCTGCCTTGTGCACTGTTGCTGGGGATTTGCAGAAATGAGAGCGAACTAGTAGTGGGGCTGATCTAGGGAAAGGAGTACAGCCTATCCCTTAGGAGGACTGGGCAAAGCATGTGGTCTTCCCACAGTCTATAACACCCACGGGAATGGTGAAGTACAGACAGCAGTTTTTGAAGTGTCCTGTAGCTCTGCTACAGTGTTGCTACTGAAACAAGTTGTCACAAGGTCCTTTGCTGTAGTAGGGATTTGGAACACTTAATGGTATATTCTGTGTGACACTCAAGGCCCTCCACTCCTTCCCCACCACTAATGTACCTACCTGGTGGTTCTATTGGTGTGTGAGAGTGTGTGGACTATGTACCTTGAAGGTCTTTAAACAAGAAAAAAAGCAAACCAACCACTCAAATCCTATTGTACTGAAAAAATGCAAGGAATTCCTAGACACGTAAAAAAATTACACTGGGAGAAGTGGTGGGAGAAACATTTCAAAAGATGTAGCAGTGATTTGAAGAATTCAGCTATTTTGGCACATTTTTGTAAAGCATTGCGTAAGATCATACGCGTGTTAACATTTTCTTGTGCTTCATTTAGGAGTGCTTCTCTTGATGTAGAGCCAATATATACCTTCAGAGCACATACGTGAGTATTTCTTGAGAGACGTCATATTTTGAGAAATACATGATTTTTTTTTTTTTTAAATAGACACAGGGGTATTTTTAAGAAGTAATTTCCACCTTGTCAACAAGTGATTTCATGTAACCCTTTTAGTTCCCATGATATTTAAAATATCTGCATGTGTTCATCTCCTTTCTGCATAATGATTTTTCTAGAGCTAGGTACACTACATTTTTAAAAAGAAAAGCATACGAATTATACAGGTGAAATTCAACTAGATGCTCTGTTCATCATTGCACTCTTGCCTTTTTGTCAGATAATGTGCATCTGTAGAATGAAGCTGTTTGTAGTAAATATAAATCTACTGGATTGTTTTCATGAAAGCCTTAGATCTTTAAAAGAAAAAAACTGTTTATGCAAAATAACAAAGCCAGTAGTTTAAAAGTGTGACACTTTGATATTTCATGTGCATAATGACTAGATTGTCCTGAATGTAGTTACATTACCAAATATTGTGGAGGTATTTTTGTGGCAAGTGTTGTAGCATATGATCTGACCATGCAGAATTTTTGTTGTTGTCTGTGCAGCAAGTGATTTGTATCTAGCAGGGAAAGACAAAGATTCCATTGATAGTTTTTCACATGATGGAAATTTTAATAGTTGACATTTCTTTGGGGGGCTGTTCTTCCAGTGGACCAGTTCTCTGTGTGGTGATGAGCAGTAATGGTGAACAGTGCTACAGTGGGGGAACAGATGGCCTCATCCATGGCTGGAACACAACCAACCCAAACATCGACCCCTATGACTCTTATGGTACGTTGCTGTCACCCAGGCCAGTGAAGTGATGTGTTGTTCTTAGTGTAATGTGACTTCAAATAGTGTCATGTGCAGGTAGTGCTTCTTTGAGGATTTAAACGAGAAGACTGAATGTTGGCTTCAGTTGCTTCAAGTGAATGTTTGTTTTAATACTGATGCTGGTTGATGAGAAAATAAAACTTGTCATTTTCTTAAAGGTCTTTATGTCATCATGATTTTGAGAAACAGCTAGGCTGAAAAAGTACAGAATTAAACCTGATACTTTGCAAGTACAGCAGATGTGTATTTTTCAAGTATGTTCTTTTCTTCAACAAATTTCTGTGCGGTTGGGGTGAAAGGAAGTTGTATAGTGTGAGACCAAGGCTGTTAGTGTTGTCTGCAAACAACTAAAAAAGGCCCAGTTTGGTAAGATTTACCCCATCTGAATAGATGTCAGCCTTGTGTCTGTGTTTTTAAAACACTTTTTTACTTCTCATAGCTTCAGATGCAGTTGGGCTGAAAGCTTGCTTTTGGAAAAAAGGGACTGATGTGCCACTAATGGTTGGTTGATTGTAAATTTTGAAATCAAAGCATGTTTTGCCAGATTTGATACCATCCCTTCTGCTGAAACATTGTTTTGTTCTGTTAGTTGTAAATTAGATAACTGAATGCCATGTATGCTGATGAAATTCAAGCATCTTCATACAAGAATAATTTAGACTTCTCTATTGATATGACCTGATTGGTCTTGTGGTGTTTTTTATGGACTAGCTTCTGAAAGTTGGTCCACAAACACAGACCAAGATACAGCTGTTGACTTAATTCACATTTTGGGTTGAAACATGGTTTGTTGTGTTTTGTTCACAGATCCTTCTGTTCTAAGAGGTGCTTTTGTGGGCCACACGGATGCAGTGTGGGGTCTGGTTTACAGTGGAGCACACCAGCGCCTGCTGTCCTGTTCAGCAGACGGCACTGTGCGCCTGTGGAAAGCTACAGAAGTTGCTCCAGCTCTCAATGTATTTAATGATAATCAAGGTACAGAAAATTGCCCTCCCTTAGAGTTCATGAGCATCACTCTTGAGACTGCTGTAATATTGGCTCCTGAATAGAAGTTATTCCTGTTTGTTTTGCTGGATTTTATATCTTTATGAATGTTTTTGGAAGAGTAAATTTGGAGTCCCTTCTCCTTTGACAACAATTGAATACATACCTACATGCAAGGGGACAGTTGCACACATAGAATCATAGAATCCTTTAAGTTGGAAGAGACCTTTAAGATCATCAACTCCACATCTAAAAGCCAGCTGCAGTAGATGGTCTGCTGATGTTACTAGAACTGGGTTTAATCTATTAGTTCTATAGCTGAGTTTCAAACTGAGTTTTCATTAGGCCCTTGGTTTTGGTTTGTCCAGAATAAAAAGCTTCTTCCTGTAACAGGTTTTGGAGTAGCCAGTGCCTTGTCTCAGGCTGGTGTCATTGTACCTTCCAGATTCTTTCTTGTGCCTCTAACGTGGAGATTCCAGTGCAATCTCTGAGTTTGTGAGCTGACTACTCAGCAATAGCCTAGTCATCCTAAACACTGCTAGCTGAAAAAATTTACTCCTTTGGATTTAGTTGCTGAGATATCATGCACAAATCAAAATCCTGTTGTTTAGAGCCTGATTTCTTGAAGTTGCTAAGTGCTCTGGAATGAGTCTGCTGACATTGCCAAACTCCCTTAGAGCTGATGGCCCTAAAGGCACCTCATGAACTGAGACAGCTCCTTGGCTCTTCAGACCAACTTTGAGGCAAAATAAACTTTGGCATAACTGAACAGACTTATCAAATTATAGTGTAAAGCTGGTCAGATCTGCCATTACTTGTTAGCTAAAATAGACTGAGCAAAATAGAAATGTTTCATATACTTTAGATCTTGCAGAATTGTTTCCAGCAGTCTGCAGGATTTGGAGAAACACATGTAGTGCTTATATTCCTGCATTATCTGGACTTATGGGCTTGAGGTTGTTTAACATTCAGTTGCTCACTCTCTACCTCCTCCTTCTCCTGGCATCTGAAGCCAGCGTTCTTTCATGTAGCAGGTGGTGAACAGGACACTTGAGGAGAAAAATTTGAAGGGATATTCCCTATACCCAAGCTCTGCTGATTTGGCCTTCTGTCCTGTAGAGTTCAGATACTTAATATAAAGAGATCTTTACCAAAGATCTGGATGGTTTATACCTGATGGATGAATGTTTTGAAACAGGAGCTTGTAATATATTTATGTACATTTCCACACTAACTGTTTCAGCATGTAAAATTAGCACCTGGAAAGCTTTAGGGTTTTTTTTAAGCTCTGAATTTGTCCAGGTTAGTAATAATAATTTTAATCATCTGTCACATAAATGGTTTTATCATCTCAATTTCATTGAGGTGATAAAACTCATTTTACTTGATGCAATGGAGGCTTGTTTGAGAATTTCTCTTGCAGTTAAAGGAAGGAAAAGTGGTCAGGGAGTTCTTACTTTCTCAATTTCAAAGTAGATTTCCATCCAGCCACAGTTCCAGATACAGCATTTAGTAAAGAATATTGTTTATATGCGTATCAGAAAAAATAGGACTAAAAAAGTGATCATGTAGGGCAATCTTTTTAGACTGTAATATTATTGTGGATTTTTAAAATGCAATATTTCCTTTTGTATTCATCTCCCTTTTGATATTAAAGTGCTTACTGGTTGGGTTGGGGGTCATTTGTGTGTATGTTTTTTCAATATTGTGGTTTTGTTTTGTTTGTTTTCTCTACACCAACTACATTTTATTAAAATGTTCTGTACATTGTTTTCTAGAAATGGGAATCCCTTTGTCAGTAGATCTTGTGAGCAGTGACCCAAGCCTCATGGTAACATCATTTAATAGTGGACACACTAGCATTTTTAACATGGAGACACGACAACGAATTCTTACCCTGGAGTCCAGTGTGGATACTAGTATGTATTTTAAAAAAAAAAAAAAGTTGCTTGTTTAAGATCAATACTGTTGACAGGCTTTTTTTCATGTTTCCAAACATTTAGGCAGTGTCATGATAAAGTATAACAAGTATTGTGTTATAAGCTGTGTTTTGAGATGTAACAATACATTATTACTACTACAACAGAGCTCATGGGTATTTCAGTAGCACAAGAGTGCATGTACATTTGAGAGAAGGTAGAAGAAACAAGCCCATGCTACCAGAATTCCTCTTCAAGGGACAGTAACACAAGGAAAAGCACAGAAATCATTAATACTACCCGGTGATCTTTGCAGACTCAGGATTTCTGTTCTCTCCTCAGTTCAAAATAGCAAGATAGATGTAATGTCAGGAACACCTAAGGTTGAATTCATTAAAAATTTGACTGTGTGGATTCTTTTATATTTTTCCTCAGAGGTATCCCTTTTCTAAAATTTATATACATCTTTGGCCTGTTTGAAGTTGGGCTTTAGCTGAAGCTTTCACTGTAGGAAGCAAGCAAAGCTCCAGTGGAATAGTATTCCCAAGGGCAAATATAATGCCCTGGATCATTACAGTGGCCAATATCAGAAGTTTTAGAGGAAACTGTAAGGAGACTGCTATCAGTGAATCATTTTACTCTGGCCTTGGGAAAGAGACCAGGAAGACATGAAGCATGAGATGTCATATTCAGGCCAAAATGGTAGCCTGATAACAGTATAATCATTCAGTCTAGTTTTGAAATTTTGATTGGTTTTTCCCCCAAAGTTTTATGTCACTGAATTCTCCTATTATATTTTTAAAAGGGAGTAAGCCCTTCTTGTAGGCTTTGCTTGTCTGTTTTAGAATAGTTAAATGACTCATTTCATAAGAGGTAATGGAAAGTGCCATCTCCCTTCTTTATATTACTCCTTACTGTGCAGGACTGTTTTTTTAACCCACATCTTTGTTCTTGTCTGAAAAAAACAGTTCTAGATCAATTATCCCTATTTAGTGGAAGTTACCTTACCTTTTTTGTTGTTTCTGTTTCCCTTCTATTTTTTTCACCACCTCCTACTTACTGTAATTCAGTAATATTCCTATAAGAAAACAAGACCATGGTATTGCAACCAGCAGCCCCTGTTTAGTATCTTCGGTTATGTAACAGTACTAGAACACTTACATGCATTAAAAAAAATAAATCAAGAACTAGGCCAGAGGAAAATGAGTCACCTGGAAAGTCCACCATCACCAGTTAAGGACTCCACTGTTCAGTAGAAGCCTCACTGTGCTTCGGATTTTAAACCGTGAGGGTAGCTTGCTGTGATGCACTCTCATGTGCTTATAGTAATTTTAAGGGGGTTTATTATCATGAATGTTTTTTCCTTAATTTACATGTCCATAATTTCCATGTGTCCTGCAGATGCTGACATTGCTTGATGGTTCAGATTTTTATAGAAAGGTGTAAATTAAAGTCTTTACTCCCTTAGTAGCAGGTGATTCTATAGTAATATTGTGCTTTGATTATCTTGGTAAGAATTTTGATTAGATGATGTGAGTGTTCTTTGGCAGCAGTTTAATTAAGTACAGTCAACTTCCACATGAAAGAAGATAACTGTATTTTGATGTTTTGTGGAGTGGCTGTTTGTGGTTTTGCCTCTTAAGACCATTCTTGCATCATAGCAGTGCCTAGGTTTCTAATCAAAGAAACTCCTGTGGTTTTGTTTTTTTTTTGTTGGTGTGCATGTATATCTATATGGTATTTCAAGATTCTTAAAGGCTAGGAAGATGGCTGTCCTGTCAATAATCTAACAACCTTTTCAGTAATAATTTTAATCCATTTATATCAAAAAACAGAAGGTGAATTTTGCTCAGCGAGGGAATGGGGTCTTGTTTGCTTGGAAACGTACTGCCTGTGGTGTTATTTTCTTCTACTGTCTGTATGTTATGAATAAAGTGTGTCTTGACAAGAGGAGCAACGTGGAGGTGAGGAAGTGCAAAGAAGGGTATTTTCACTCAGTTTTGGCTTCACATTCTTGCCTGTGTCCCTGTGAAACTGTGCCCAAAAGTTGGCTTACTCTTGTTTATGTACTCTCATGCACGCAGTTTATGTATATCTCTGTGTGCGTGTAACTTGGAAAGTATTTTAGAGTAAAACACATTACATAAGGTGCTAGCTGAGAATTTCCATTATGTAAAGGCAAGAATTATTTTACAGATAAAATTGATTACATATTTATTTCTTAGTAACAAACTTTCAAAGAACTTGGCAATTTACATGTATTAATGTGTGGGGTTTTTTCTTAGCAGTCAGTTCCTCCTGTCAGATAAACAGAGTCATCAGCCATCCAACTCTTCCAATTAGTATCACTGCTCATGAAGACAGACACATCAAATTCTATGATAACAATACAGGTATGCATCTTTTCAGTAGGTCCTGTTCATAGTGGTTGTATAATGTAGGAGTTAAACAGAATTTCATTATGATTAATATTATTCACATAAGTGCTGAGGGATGTCAAGAACTCGATGTCCTCTGAAACAGAGATCTCATATCATGAGGAGAGCCCAAAGATTGCCAGTCCACTTAAAACTTTTTTTGGCACAGTGATAAGGAACTTGCACCAGTCTATGTTCTTTTAAAATGCCTTATGTTATAAGAATTGTCAATATTTAACATATAAGGAAGCTTTTTCAAAATCTTCACATGCTTAAGTTTATGTTTATTCTGTTGTGTTGACTCTGTTATTTTGATCTGAGGGCAGGAACCCCTGGCACTCCAAGCTGATGGCTTGGAAGTAGAAGTTTCCTTGTAGGCATCTTTCTCAATCTGGTCCACTGTATTTCTCCAAATGTCTAACTTCTGCAGAAACAGCTGGACAGCTTATAGTAATTTTTCTAGTTTGTGGTGACAGTTGCACTGAGATGTGTAATTATAAATCTCCTATGTTTTAAAGGACTTTTTGATAGGAATGGTAGTATTAATCTGGTATTCTGACTGTGAGTCTTGATAATCTTCAGTTTGTGAATTCTCTGCTTCCAGGTCACACTGTTTTAAAAGTTAAACTGAGATCTTTCAATATTCTTGTTGAATTTTAAGTTTGCCACTCCCCAGATGTATATTAAATAAGAAGAGTTGAAAGAGCCCAATGGAAGCTGTGGAAAAAGCTGAAAATAGCTGATTTCTTCGATGTAGTTCTGTAACAAATAGTAGAGGAAACAACCACTCCCTTTTCCATTTTATTATCTTGTACAACAAAAAAAAAAAAAAAACAAATTCAACCCTGATTTCTTATTTTTAGCATGAAATCATACTGTAATAAGCTGGAACAGAATGTTAATTCTCTCTGGGTTGACTGAAAGTATCTTATAGTCTTATGTAGTTTATATTCATGCCTATTGGTATACTCAGCCTCTGCCCTCCTTCCCAGTGAAGGTCTTACCCTTAATTCAGCTGATGGCAGGTACTTCAGATGCGCAGGGATTGCTCTTTGCGGTGGTTTTGCGGACAGAAGAGGTCTATCAAAGCTGCCAATATTGGTTCTATGGCTCTCCTGAGACAGTAGACTTGAAAAGAATGACTGCTTGCATAATCTTAATGATTCAATCATGGCACAAGGTCTTTTATTTGTAATAGGAGCTGTGTTAGGGTTTAAGCAGTGAACACAGATCGCAAAGTGAATTGTGGGAAATAACCTCCTTAATTCTTTTCTTTCAAAGGAAAATTGATCCACTCCATGGTCGCTCACTTAGATGCAGTTACAAGTTTAGCTGTTGATCCTAATGGCTTGTATTTGATGTCTGGCAGTAAGTACATTCAGACCTCATTTTCTTTTTCTCATAATGGTGGCAGACATTAGAAATAAAGAAAACTGTTTCCCCTTTCTTTAGGTCATGACTGTTCGATTCGCTTGTGGAATCTTGAAAGCAAGACCTGCATCCAAGAATTTACTGCTCATCGCAAAAAATTTGATGAGTCCATTCACGATGTGGCATTCCACCCCTCCAAATGTTATATTGCCAGTGCAGGAGCAGATGCCCTGGCTAAAGTGTTCGTATGACAGCGTGTTTCCCTTTCAGCTCTAGCTTTGTATATATTTAACCAGCTGCACAAAAGAGGAGGGCATGAGTCTTATTCTGCCCTATAATTCAGAGAATGTTTGTAAGTGTTTAGTTTTGCAGGGTGCTGTTTTCTAAATTGACATTTGTTCTGGTTTCTGTGAGCTCAGCTGGTGCTGAGAGCGTGGAATCTCTCAGTTTCAAATAGATTTAAAAAAAAAAAAAAAGGACAAAAGAAATGCTTTTATTTCAGAGGGTGTGAATTTTCGTCCAGGCAGGCCTTGGGTGAAACTAGGTCTATGTATTCTATATTAATGAAAGAGAATACTGGAAAGAAGGAGTCTAATTGCATCAGGGAGTAGGAAAAGAGGGAAATTTCCTCAGTTGCTTCTCATTGAGGAATCTTAACATTCTTCAATCACCTGGAAAAAAGTGTCAGTTCACATGCTCATTACTGTGTCATGTGAGAGGTACTTTGTCATCCCTTTGGTCTTAATAAAGTAGATCTTGTTCAGAGAGCACTAGTGGATAGTTAATCTCAGCCACCTGGCTGCTAGCCTAAGATAAATGCAGTTAAAGGAAAGCAAATTACTAACATGAATTAAAATGCAGTAAAGTTTTGGTTACATCTTCTGTGTTATACACTAAATATTTAGTTTGCAAAAAATTTATATAATTTTTTTAAAGACTATTAGTGTGTGGCTAGAAGCTGAGCCTTTAGTCTAGTCCTAATTAACAACAGACTGAAGCAGTCTGTATATACTGTAGTAGCAAACTTAACTTATTCAGATTTATAATGCTGTTTATTCTTGGAGATCTGGCACAAGAAATTATCACAAAGCTTTCCAAAGAAGCTGTCCTACAATTTAACTATCAAATGTTCATCTTCTCTTTCTGTTCCTGCTAAAAAGGGTATAATTCTGGGCATTAAGGATAATAGTGAAGTACTTCTTTTGAAGATTAAACCTACACCTGATGCTTTGTACGAGTCCTATTAGTGCAATAGGTGGTAACTATACGAAGTTCCATCAGTTTGAGATTCTAGAGGTATTTCCCAGCTTCATCATTTGTGGGACCTTCTAACATGTCTGCTTTGCTGGGCGTATGGTTAATCAATAAGTTACCTAAAGGAGTGCTTCTTCTCAACAGATGTGCTTTGTTTACCTATTCAGAGCTTCTCTGTTGATTCGAATGACAAGTAAGTTTTAATCCGATCTTGTAGTCTCTTTATTCCTTCTTAAAAGAAGGTGTGTGGATTCTTCTCTATCCCTTGTCATCATCAGAGTTATTACTGCTCGTAAGCCTGAAGTTGTGTGTCTTCCTCTAATGAAAATGGAAGGCAGAATTTCTGCTGGAGATGACTTCTGGTGCTGACTTGAGTAGGAAAGAACCCAGCACGACTCTTCCGCGTACCAGCTTGAGGTTAAGACTGGAAGCTGATAAATCAATCTTTAAACTGACACGGACTCGTTGAAAGCTATCAACATAGGATTTGACTGTGCTGGGTTTGGAGTGACATTGGGGGATGGGACCATGTTTGAAGCTGATCTCAGAGTTTAAATCAGCTATGTTATTTAGAATAAAAGGTTGACCTGTGCTGTTTGAGCCTGCAACACATTATATTTACTGCTAAAATAACCTGGAATACCTTTTATTGCTCAGAATATTCAGATATGTCACTTCATGATATTGATATGCAATATATTTCCGTATATAAGATTAGAACTTTTACCATGAGACAGATGACTACAATAGGAATTCAGATTATTTAGTTTTTATAAAGTGTTTTGGTCATGATGGGAAGGGGGAAACTTGGCTGCAAAACTGAGCATTCGACTTTGTGAGAGTTCTGTGTACTTGACTCATTCTTTCAGTGTCACTATTTTATTTCTTTTTGAAGAGAAAATGACAAAGATTTATTTGAAAAATTCTAAAAGTTATGTATATTATATATGTGTATATATATTGTAAACATGTATTAAATGTGTCTAGTAAGGGAAGACTCCATGGGTGCATTTTAATGTTTCGTATTCAGAGTTCTCTTGAGTTTGTGTATACAAAGGGTAATGGTGTGAGTATGAAATGAGTGTTGCGCTTTTGCTTACACAACACAACATGTAGTTACAGTTCTTTAAATTGCTGTACATAAAACTTAATAGGCTGGCATGCTTGTTTCTAAAGAGTGTCATTCTGATTACAATTGGAATGTAAGAAGTGGCTGTTGAAATGTGAATCGAAAGATGTTTCCTTATCGCTATTGAGCTCTTGCTCAAACTAAAAAGTGATTTTTTTTTTTTTTTTTAAAGCTGGCAATAGCTAGAGGATGAGGTGCCTTTACAAAAACAAAACAAATGTAGCCTTATAAAGAGGTTGTGGAGTATATATATTTTTGTGCTGGTCTTCATAATTGATGTCAATGACTTTTTACTGTATTTGCTCACATACTTGTAAGACTGCAGGGTATTGTGCATGAGCCTGTCAGATCTTCTAAACATCATCATAGAAGCTAGGGATGAAAAATTATGTAAGTTATCTATTCCATCTGCTTGCTAAAGCAGGGTTGTAGACTTGTGCATTTTAATATTGTCTTGGCCAGTGAGGTTTTATATATGTTCTAAACGGAATTCCTTTTGAAGATTATGTCAATGATTACATCCCACTGGCAGGAGGATTTACATGGTGTTTAGTGGTTCTTTTTTTGTAACTTCATGCCAGTGCTCCAAGCCGTGTTTTGTGCCGTTTTTACATATTCCTCCTCACCTTTGTAATTTGGAACCTGCATGCACACACTGGTTCTAACTGTGTATTTCCCTTGTTTTCCAATTTCTTCAAGCTATTTTTCAGTCTTTTCACACAACTTTTTCTTATTTGCAGCTTTTCAGCTCAGTTTTCCGTGTCTTGCTGCCCATAACACCATTCCACGTGCATGATTTGTTGGATTTAGTCTGAAGGTCATCTGTTAAGTGTGTTTTTTGTTTGGTTGAAGTTTTTTTTTTTCATCCGTAACGTGATGTTTTTGTGTAGGAAGACCAAACTTTTGTTCTTCTGGCTAGTGTCTCACAAACCCAAATTGTATTTCTTTATTCTGACAACTGTTTTAAATAATTTCAAGCACTGTTGCTTCTCAAGTTTCTTCTTTACTTTCAATATGTTGTTGTGACTCTTCTGCAGCTAGATACTTAATTCCTGCTTCATGATTATCCTGGGTTTTACAAGCTTTCAACTTCTGATCTGTGAGGCCACTAAATTGTTTTTATTTTTTCCCTTTTATGTGCAGGTCTTCCTGGTTCAATACGATTGGTAACTTTCATGAATGTGATACATAATTCTATTGCAGTTGTAAAGAAAACTGGACCTAAGGCTTATTCTTGGAAAAAAAAAAAAAAGGCATTTTTGTGCAACATCCATATATGGCATTTTACCATTACTATTTTTCCCATATCTAATTTACATGGTACTTTTTTAAATTATTAACTCAAATTATTTTTTTTTGGTGTATGTTAGCCTGTGCTACTGATTTTGGTTTTGCTAACTAATTTAATGGGAGAATTTTCAGTTATTTTGTATGTTGAAAATTGGTCTGCTAGGTTTAAATACTCTCACCTTTAATTTACTTAACTGTGCTGTTTGTTTTTACATATTCGATTCATTTACCAAAACACTTGCTCAAAATGATTTCAAGCAGCTTGGAAGAAGCTCTAGATATAATTACATTGTGGAAAACATGTTCTTTAGCTCTTAAAAATTCCAAGTGTCTGCATTTATTTTTGTGCCTCAAAGAAAACTTGTATGTACAACATACAAGATTTTATTACATGTAAGAAATTCACCCAATGGATATTTTGGGATCTCATTAATCTCTATTTTGATAAAATGGGTTCTTTAGCAAGAAACCTGTAGAACTGCGTCCCACGTACTGGTAGTTATTTTTCAGTCCATATGTTTTCAAATAATGTTACGTTAAAGCAGTCCTGGATGTAATGTGTTTGAATAAGTGTGTAATGTTCACCACAGCTTTGCAATTGGGTTGTACAACACCATTTTGCAGTTGTGAATTTAAAGTAACTAGAAACTTGTCCTTTTGAATAGACGTGTAAGAGAGAAAGGACTTGGTTGCACCACCTTTTTCAGCACACCTGTTTCATCACATATGTGTCCACTTTCCCCACCTCCTTCCTCATGTTTTAACAATGTAATTTTGGGGAGCAGCAATTTCCATAAATTGATGTGTTTTTTGAGAAGTGTTTGATTGGCAGAAGTGTTAGTCCCTCCCAAAGAAAACAAAGAATTAAAAAGCAGGCATAACCATCAGTTAACCTTGGTTTGTTTTTTTTTAATGCCTTTCAAGATGTGTATTTGGAAGTGTTTGCAGGCTGTGGTTTGGCAGTGTCTCTACTGTAGACACTAGGAAGCCTACTTGACACCTGTATGAAATACCTAGTAAACCTTGTAAAAGGTGCTAATGTGGGTTGAGTTAAGGAAGAAAATACAGCCATTGTGGTTGACCCTGTGCCTGTTCTCCTTGGAGTCCTCTTCACTGAACCATCAGGTGTGCAACCTAAGATAAGTAATTCCTGCAGCATGGAAGTATCTGCAGATGAGATCATTTTATTTTTACTTGGAAAATCTTTAGGCAGTGGTCATTTGGATTGTGTGCTGAACAGCAAGGGAAGCAGGGACACCATTTGCTAAACTCTGTAGATGAAAGGCAGGAGGTTAAATGGTCAGCCCAAGTGCCCTCCATGTGACTGGTGTCATCACAGGAGAATTCGGCTGGGCAGCAGTGTAGAGTTTAGCCTGATGGTACTGCAAAGGAAAACATTCAAAGGTTTGAGTAACAGGCTTTCCCATAATGGCTCTTCTGATTTATTAATTCATCCACTGGTTGCAGGTTGTATTAAGGAAAAAGTCTAGTGTAGGTCCAGATTCCAAATTATTCGCTCATGTGTCAAAGTAAAAGGTTCAAATTTAAAATTGTTGCTCAAGATGAGGAGACAGCAAGAGATTTGTAATAGCTTATTACTTAAATTTTAAGAACAGAACTTAACTCTTCTGCTAACATAGTCCTCATGCTGGGGACCAGTTATGTGAAGGTAAGTTCCTTGGGTACTGCAGCAGAACTGCTCTTTTGCTTGGGAGAAAAGTTTATTTATAAACAAAAGGGCAGGACTAGGTCTTTGTCTCACAATATCCATTAGTATTGGAACCAAAGCCACAATATTTGGGA